ACTCCCACGGCACATCTCCTCAGGGGACTCTAGCTGTCCCTGAGCTGGGGATCCTCAAATTGACAAACCGACATCCTCAGAGCCTGGGCATTGGGCAGCAGGGAACACAAGGATGGGGACCCTGCCCACGTGGAGAAGGAAAGCCACATTATTCATTTAGTCCCCAAGCTGTTCCATTTGGAATGTCCCAGCCATCAGCAACTTGGCATCAGAGCTTAAAGGCCCTGGAAGTGCCTCATCTACCTTATTACTTTAACCTACTTTTAATCAATCAAAAACCACACCTAAAGACACAGTTCCCAGCGTAGAAGCTGTAGTGAGGCCAGCAGAGGTACCCTTGACAACGCCAACACAGCAAGAGTGCTGAGTGGTATACTGAGCCCAGAGGGGGCTGGCCAAGGGAGAGAGGAGTATGTAGAAATACAAATGGATATTTTTTCTTAGATATGTTATGGCAGGGACAGACAGGAAAAGACTCCTCTTCCCAAGGTCATTGCCATGTGACTGACTGACTTCCCCAAAGTTTCTGAAGTTCCACAAGTTTCCTGGAGAGGCAGCCCCATCCTGGGCAAGCTTGTGAGAGCTGGAGGCCAGGACTGAGGCTGCGCCCTCTAATTTCCAGCTCCTTGCCCAGAGTCAGGCCAATAGTGGCACCAAGGAACATTTGCTGGGTGAAGGGAACAAAGGAATGAATGCAGGAAGGAAGGAATGACAAGCAACTTATTGGGCTGGTCTGTGGTCACAAATGGGAAGTGGGCAGGGGAACACGTGGTTGAAGTGGCGAGGGCACCATTAATACTGGCTGTGCTGCCTGTGTCTTGTAACTTCCAGCCTCACTTTCCCCAGCAGCCTATCTGCCTCCAGCTGTTCTGAGCCCCATGAGTGATAAACAGCAAGGGTACCTACAGACCCCAGCATAGCACAACAGCCTCCGCATGTGCATGGTGAGGGAGAAGAAGAAAGGGGAGCAATAGGTGACCTGATTACAGCAAACCCCCAAGTGCTCCCCACCAGAATCTGGCGGGAAGGGGGGACACCCCTAAGAACCATCCAGTCTAGGAAGCCAAACTCGGTCAAACAGCCCAGGAGGGACATGCACAGCCATATAATCAGACAGTGGTTCCCCAGATAAGAAGTAAGCATGATTGCCCAGATGTAAGCCCTTCTGGCCATCCCTGTGCAAGAGCGGCCCTTCCCACACTGTCTGGACTTGGTCTCCACATCCCAATCTTTACACAGGGCCTCTGGAACCATGGTTCTAGGAGCTAATTAATAACAGTTATAGCAACTCCACCATGCCTTCTCCCCCTCTCTGCCCTGGGCCTCATCACTAGCTCTCCCCTGAGAGCACCGCTTCCCTCTGCTCCTTCTTTCTGGGAAGGCAGGTGGTTCTGAGCCATCTTCACTCCCCGGAACTGCTTCCAGCTCAGACTCCTCCATCAGCATCCGAAGCTCCTGTCCATCTGAGGCTTCTGCTATCAATCCCCTCTTTTTACGGAGGTCATCTACCCACTTCCTTCCTACCCCTCACTCACTGGATCCTTGGATGTGGCCCTACTCTCCTCCCCCTATGCCATCCAGGGTGACCTCAGCCTCCGTGGATGCTGTCAGGTCCCTGACCTACTCATTGCCATTGGCCTTCACCCACACCCTACTCCAGCCACCCAGGCCCACGGTCATCCCCTGCACCCTGTCACCACCTAGACTCACTCCATCTTCCAAAACACCCCCTCAGATACCCCACCTGTTGACCACATGCCCCCAGCCCTCTGGCCCTCAGTGTCCCTCACCTTCCTGGGAGAATCCTGACTCTGGAGCCATTCCTGACCTGGACCCTGCCACAGAGCCCCACTGGTGAACTCCATGGCCTCGCAGTGAGGTGCCTGTGGTCCTCCCACGGTCCCCTAAGTCAACGCTCCCACTGTCTACAGAAGCTCTTCCAACCCTCCACTCTCAAACCTCCCCACACCACTGCCTCCTTCCCGCCAGCTACCAACCTACCCCAACTTCACTGAGAAAGTAACCAATTTTTCATTCCACAACTATTGATTCAATATTCAAAATATGTACAAGTCACTGTCGGAGGCACTGAGGATATAGCAGCAAAGACAACAGACAAAAGTCCCTTTCTCTTGGAGCTTACTGCCAAGTGAGAGAATCAAACAGTAAAAAGATAAACAAATAAATAGTACGTTAGATGGTGGCAATTCTCATAGACAGGGATTCCCTTCATGCCTGCCACCTGGGAAGGCACGTGCATGGTGCACATGGTCTCCTCATGGCCTCCTGCCACCAAAACTCTGCAGCCCTCTCCAGCCGAGGCCAGTTCCACCCCTGGGCTCTGGGTCCCCTCTCCCCGCCTCTGGGGGAGTCTCTCTGCCTATCAGCCCCTCTTTCTTGCAACTCTTCCAACTCTCCATCCTTCCTCTGCCTCCTTCCCTTAAACATGCTCAAGTCCTGCTCACTCACCAAGAAACAAAAGATGACCCAACTCTCCATCTACCTCATTTCCCCACCTCCCCCGAACCTGCTGTCCCCCCTCCTCCCATCAAAGCCAAGTTACTTCAGAGAGTTGCTTACAATCCCTCACTGCCTCCCTCCACTCCCTCAATCCACTGCAGTCTGGCTCTGCCCCCTCCACTGCCCTGAAACTGCTCTTTCCAAGGGCAGTGATAGCTCCTTGTGGCCACATCTGACCTCATCCTGCTGACCTCTCAGCAGCATTGGCCCTGGAGTGTCCAGCTGCATCATGGGAGCGCCATCATGAGAAAGCTGTGTGTGCCATAATGAGGAGCCCATGCTCTTGAGTCAGACCATCCAGAGCTGGCAGTCCTGCCCCCACCACTCACTAGCTATTGTTTTAACGTCCTCGCCTGCAGAATGGGGCTAACACCGGCGCTGGCCTCACCGGGTTGCCATTAGGGTAAAAGCTTGTATGGGGCGCCCAGTGCCTCCTGGCACGTAGTGACAGGCTGTCACTCAATGGCTGTCCTAAGACCACCAAAACCTGGGCACCACAAAGGGGAAGCTGAGAAACAAACGGAAAGGAAGACTGTCCGTGAGGTTTGTCAAAGGAGCAACCGTTTCATCAATAATCAGAGAAATTGTTTCATTGCTTACAGAGAGCCATTGGGAAGATGCAGAGGGGGTGGAGCCTGTACTCAGTGCAGGCCATGGGCCAGCAGGAAGAATAGAAAGGAAAGAGCCCCACATTGGGAGGACCAGCTCTGAAGAGGCCCCTCACAGTCACCTTCACTGTGTGCCTTCCCTACTCACCCACCCATCGTGGACCCTGTGGCACCTTCCAGTCCTCGCTTGCAGTACTGAACTCACCCCTTTTTTCTCTTATTGTCACGTGGCTTTGTCTTCCCTCGCAGGCTGTACACCCCCAGGGGAGAGGCCTCAACTTTACCTAAAGGTACACTATCTGCAGCCCCGCCAGAGCCTGGCGCTCAGGGAGAGCAAGTGCTCAAGGGCCATTGCTGAACTGGTCAGGGGACAATTGCAGAAGAAACCCAGATGGAGCAAAGGTCAGGAAAGAGGTTTCTTAACTGGCAGAGTGGCTGAGACAGCAATAGGCCTGGGGAGACAGAGATGGCAGATAAAGATGAGAAAGTTCTCATCTCTCACCCAGGGAACCCCCGTTCATGGTGTGGGAGCCATCATATTTGATGTTAAAGGGCAGAGTTGCAAAGGGGTAGGAGCAGGGAACACACACGGGAGGTCAGGGAGGACTTTGCCATGAGGCAGCCTCCGGGAGTCCTGAGGGAGGGCCCAGAGATCCCAGGGGCAGAGGCAGGAGAGGCAAGGGGAGCACGGAGTACAGAGGCTTGGGCATATGGGAGTGCACACAGTGTTTGGGGAACCACAGGGGCTAGAAGGTTGAACAGAGTGTGGCAGGGGCAGATGAGGCCAGGAGGCCATGAGACTAGAGGTATCAGGCAAAAGGGCCCTGAGCACGGGCCACCTGAATGCCAGGGAGCCACGCAAGAGCTCAAAGAAGGTGAGGGAGTGAGAAGATTTGTGTTTAAGGAAGATTGCAGGCTGTCAGGTGGACAATGGCCTAAGGGCCAAGCTCAGAAGCTAGGAGAAGGCAGTCACACTGTCTAGCTCAGAGACAATGATCAAGACTTGACCTAGGACTGTGTCAGGGGGGTGAAGGGAAGGTATGATACTGTGTCAAACAAGACTTGGTGGTTGGTTAGAGTGAGCACGCTGGTAGTCAGGGAGAAGACTGAGTCAGAGTGAACGAAGTTCCTGGCACGGGCAATATGGCAGAGGGAGACATGACGACACCATTAAATGAGATGGTACATCAGGGAGAACCACTGGGCAAGGGGGTCCCCCAAGAGAAAGGCAAACCTTAATACTGTTGCATAGGGCTCATCAAATCAGTGATCCTGAAGCCAGGCTGCCTAGGAAGACCAGGATAATAACACTAATGATGATAATAACATCAAATACTTTGAGCACTTGCAATATTACTAACGGGTAACGCTTTGTATTGGATTCTGTGGATTGGTTCTCTCAACCTCCATTCCACTCTCCTCGTAGCTGGGGAGGTTGGTAAAGCTAAACCTTTCCCAGATCCGGCAGCTAGGGTTTAGGACACAAACCAGGCTTCACCAGTTGGATGCACTCACACCCGGTTTGGAAAGCAGAAAGCAAGGCGGAGGCCATCCTCCCACCCCTTTTGGCTGTTTCTATCAGCAAGCAAGGTCCTGGAAATGTGATTTCTTTGCAGCTGGTTCCAGCATTCATTCGGCAGCCTCCTGGCTGTTGAGAGCCATTGTGGCCGCGGCAGCAGCAGTGGTTTCTTGATTCCGGCTTCCTGGTACCTGGATCCCAGCTACGAGAATGAGTCCTGAGCTCTTCACTCCACTGTCAGAGGCAGGACAGAAGCAGGTAGCCCCACCCCAGAGAGTCAGTTCTGAGTTCTCCTGGGAATCCTTCCAGAGGCCCACAAGTGACCTGCTCCTTCAGCCCTCCCAACAACGTTGCAGGACCTCGTTCCTTGTATCAAATCTCCTCTTGCTCAAAGTCAGTAACTTGGTTTCTGTTTCCCACACCGAATCCAGACTGATCTATATGCGCCTGGCAGTACTCTAAGAGCTTTGAACACATTAGCTCATTTAACCCTCAAAACAACCCTATAAGGTTAAGTATGACCTCGGGCAAGTCGCTCACCCTCTGTGTGCTCCAGTTTCCCCAACTACAAACAGGGTTAATAAGAGCCCTGCACCATTGTCTAGGCCCTGTGCTCGGGCTTTTATGTGCATTATCGCCTCACAATAGACCTACAATTAGCTCTGTTTTCAAAAGAGGACTGGGTCATAGAGATGCTCAGTAATTCACCATGGAAAGTCACACAGCTAGAAAGCGGCAGAGCCGGATTTCAGCCCACTGCCAAGTGCACCCCCACCACTACACTGCACTGCACTGACGGGGAGCAGACCGTTGCACTGTCTCCAGAGGCTGTCATGTGGACCCGTCTTTTCAGAGCTTCCAGTGGGCAGGGGGAGGAGTGGGACAGAAGGAGAGGGAAGGGGGAGCCTGCTGGGATGGGCACTCTTTCAGACCGATGGTGCAATAGACATAAGGAGGACACTCAGGTGAAGCAATCCAGCTAAAAGTGGGGCATGGAGCTCTGCTTGCTTAACAGCTGACACAGAAGAGAAAATCCCCCTTGTCCTTCTTAGAGAGTGGTCTGAGTGGTGCACAGAGATTATGGGCAAGAGAAGCTGCTGACCACTCACTCCTCGTCAACTCCACAGACAACTGAGCAGGTTAGGCCATTTCATCCCCACACCCGTGAGCTCTGGTCTGGTGGGCCAGGAAAGAGACAGTTGGATGGCGAAGTGAGGGGAAGAGAGTCAAGGTCCACTTGACTTTGAGGGCTACAGAGGCTAAGCCCCTGGGCCAAACTTAAGGCTCCTCAAAGGTCCTCCCTCCGGATGGGGACAGGGGGACATGGCTTTGCTAATGAGCCCTGGCTATTCTTTTTCCTCCCCCCAGGGATTTTTCCTTGGCTGCTTAGCCCATGAGTGAAGTCATGAGTCTTTGTGTACAAGTTCAACAACTATAATTTGCAGGGAGTTAATTACCTTCATACTTTTATCTGGTGGAGTTTCATCTCTATGGTTACCAGCTGAGTATAAACAGTTATCACTTGTCTCTTTTACACAAAATATTCTTGAAAAATACCCCTAGGGCTCCAATCAGGGAAATCAAATATACAGTGTGTTCACAGAACCTTTTAAAATTTTTTATATGAACTGTCTCTACATACAAAAATAGATAAAATTGGGTATCCATTTGGATATAAATAATAACTCAGAGATTGTTGCAGCTTGCTTTCTCAGCCCTAACCTCTAATGGGTGCATCAGATCTCCTTAGTGCGACAGGTCTCGCGAGGGTAAGGGCTTGGCTGAGTGACAGGTGAGGGGTGCCCCAGAAAGGTGTCCAGCATTTGACAACGTTCACTCTGGGGGCACCAGAGTGGGGGGACTGACGCTCAGAGGGACTATTCAGGTAAAAGATCAATTAGTCCTTGTGTTTACTGATTGTGCCTGCCAGGGGCCTTATGCTGATGCCTGTGTAACAGATGCAACCATGTTGAATGAATGAATCGCTGATGATGAAAGCTGACATTTAGGGAGAGTGGACTGTGTGCCAGTCACTATGTCATGCGTTTTACAAGTATTTCCTCATGTAATCCTCGCAATTCCACTATGAGGTAGATATAATTATTATCATGCCAAATTTACAGATGAGGAAACAGAGGCTCAGGAGGTTACACAGATAAGAAGAGGTATGTATAGCCAGGACTTATGCCCAAGTCCGTCTCAATCCAAAGCCCCTCCTCTGCTGCCACTACACCACACAACAGGTCCACAAACCTGTGTGTCATGACTGCCCAGCAAAACTCTGAAGTTTTCACCATGAGGGACATGACAGCTTTTCTAATTTGCCAGGAGGGAGGGATGGGTGACCCTGATGGGAAAATGCTCCTGGCCACTAGAAGCATTCAACCATTGGAATCCCTGATCAGCAGGGCCCATCCATTGGTATCTCTATGTCCCTGTCAGTAGTGTTCATCCATTGGTAGCTCTATGTCCCTGGTGAGTGGTATCTGTCCCTTGGTGGCTCTATGTCCCTGGTCAGTAGTGTCCCTCCATTGATAGCTCTATGTTCCTGGTCAGAGGGCCCTGTCCATTATGAGCCTTCCCATCTAGTGTGGGACCCTCAGCAGCTCTGATCTCCAGGAACCCCTGAGGTTGAGCAAGGTCACCATGTCACACAACTCCAGAGGGCATTCAATGGGAATGGTGCCCCATAGACTTACGCAACGCCCAGCCCTGCCCATAAAATCTTGTCTCCAAATGAAGCAGGTGACAGGGACTAGAACCAGTGGAGCTGGGTGGGGGAATGACAGGCTTCACCAGAAAGACACTGCCTAACGATGGAGGGCTCCACTTTAGGGATTCCACCAGGGACTGCTTGGAAGTGGGGCCTAAGGCACTGCAGACCCTCGAGGCCACGGCCTGTGCCTCAGACTGACAGTTGATAGACCAAGGTTCTGACTCCCTCTTAACTGAGGTCCCAACGCCCTTCCCCTTTCTGCACCGCAATTTCCTTATCTATAAAATGGGTATAATAATCCCTGGGCCTCCTGCCTAACAGGAGGGCAAAGAGGCCATCTGAGACCATGCGTGAATGTGCTCCTCACACTGTAGAGTGCTACCCACATGAGGGATGTGGGCACCCTCTGAGCAGCGGTGCCACTAAGAGATTAGCTGAGGTACTGCCAGGCTTGGCATCCACTCACTCTGTTTCACTAATTCTTCCAGCGATGAACCATCTTCACTGCCTACCTGCTCTGCTTTTACCCTTCCCCTTGTGGGCCAGCCTGTGGAAAGAGGGATTGGGTTTAGTTCAACCACGACCTCCCCATACACAGAGTCCAGACCCCTACCACGTGCCCTGCACTGGGGTAAGTGCTAACAACAGTGTCTCATACAATCCTCACAGCCATCCTATGAGGGTTCTGAATGGTCCCCATTTTACAGATTAGGAAACTGAGACCAAAGAGGTTAAGTGACCTGCCCAAAGTCACACAACTAGCCAGTGAGAGAGCAGAATTTGAACCCAGTGCTGTCTGGCTCCAAAGCCCCAGACTTCCTCACTGCATCATGCCACCTCTTGCTGCACTCTGGACTGTAACAGGGTTTAGGGGTCCAGGATGCATCAGGTTTCACAAACCTCTTGTTCTATCCAAGTCTCCCCAGCTGAAGCCACTTTCTCCCAAGGGAAATTTAAATAAAGAGCAATTCTGCAACTAAACAGATGTCTATCCCAGCAAAGCATAAAAAGAGCTGGATTTTTTAAACACAGGTCCTCAGAAACCAGTATGAAGTCATTGCAGCCACCCCACCACTTCCCCGCCCACTGAAGCCACAGTGTTTGAGAGATTCTCTTCTGCTCGAGACTGAGCCTTGTGGTCCTCACTGGGGCCATTCCTCCAGGGAAGTGTTCATTCACGCGATAATTATTTATTAAGCCCCTACTGGATATCAGACACTGTGCCAGAGAAACAACAAGAGGCTGGTCCCTGCAGTCACAAAGCTCGCAGTCTGGTCCAGCCCGAGGGGGAGCTGGTACCAGAGCTATAAAGTCATGATTCCAGCATTTCTCCCAGGTCCCAATTCCAAAAACAATGCCAAATTCCCCATTAAGTATTCCTCCCATCTTCAGAACAGTTGTCTGTCATTTAGTTTGTTAATTATTATAACCAAAGCTATGATCAGACTTCAAAGGGACATTGATCACATCTCCAAGATCCAAAACCTGGGTACAGTGTCTGACCGATATTTAATGCAGGGGTAGAATATTCGGAGTGAGGACACCCCTCAAAGCCCTGGGTGTCACGTTCCCACAGAAACGGGCCACTGTGATGGTTTTAGCTCATCAGTCAGTGCCTCAAGATGCTGTCCTCCAACTGCCTCTTGGGGGAAACCCTTAGAACTTTGTCCATCGTGCCAGAAATTGGTGCCAGATGCTGCTTCATCAGCTGCAAATGCAGCTAATCAAATAGAATTGCTTCCGCAGATCCATCAAAGCCCCCCTTTTCATTTTCTATTCTGGATGGGATCTGCCAGAGGTTAGAAATAATACATACTGTTGAGTGCTGACCTGAGGTTAGGACTCGTGGGTTATAACTGAGGTTGACACTGGGTCACAGCACAGAGAATCGGCTGATGGTAAGCCTCTCCAGGAACAAAGCAACCAGGCCTACTGGTCAACCAGCATCTTGCTGAGTGCCCGCTGTGCACTTTACCCTATGGATCCCAAGATGGAGAAGCCCTGGCTTCTGCCCCAGGAAAGGAGGACATTGAGGACTACATCAGCTGTAACCAGAAAAGGAGGGAACTAGTCCATCAGAAAAGAGAAGGAGGGAGGAGGGGCCAGCAGACGTGGATGAAGTAGCTCTTCTTGTAGTGCAACCTTGAGAGCCCTTGGCCCTGAGCCCCTGACCATTCACCAGGAGTCCTGCTGGGTTCTCATGGGGCATCCCCCTGGGCTGCTGCTAGAGCTCCAGGACCTTGGATGATGGGCAGGTGGTCATGGCCATTCCTGTCGGTAAGAGAATATTTACACCAGCCTTTTCTCCCTCCCACCTCCCGACCCCGCCATGCTCTCTCAGAGTTCTGCTGAAAGGCACTGGCACTTTGATGGTTTCAGAGTTTCTGGAAGCCCCATATGTCTGTTCTCCACTCTCCAGTCCTGCTGGGAACTGGCCCCTCCGCAATACCCAGTGCCTCCATTCTACCTTCCCACTCCCCAGGGCCATGTCTACACCATGTGGGGCACACGTGTGTTCTCTCTCTCTTTCACACACACACACTCATTCACTCCATCACTCTGGCTTGCCTTCCTCTTCCTCTCACAGTACCTCATACCCTGAAGCTTTCCTTTCCCATGAGACCTGCCCCTCCCATGTCCCATTCCCCCTCTCACTGCCCGCTGAGCCCTTAACACACCCTTTTCCAGGATGGTCTGCATTTAGCAGTGGACACCTGTTACACGTGCATTCTAGAGCTACAATGCCCAGGCACTAATTTGATGAGCACTTACTACATACAAAGGTGTGACCATCTAACAAGGGACAAAGTCAAAGACACTTAGGAGCAGAAGAGCATTCCTGGAGCTACAGACGACATTTGTTCCTGGTCACCTAGGCTTAGTTACACACCCCTTAATGAGACCACACCAAAGGGGTGCAGGGCTGGGCCTCAGTTTCCCACTCTGACACAAGCAGGACCGGGTGGTTTCCAAGGGTCCTTCATATTGTAAGCCTCTGGTCCCAGGAGTTCACCACTGGCCCTGAAGAGATGGGGAACAAGGTCAGCCAAGGGAGGGTCATAGTGTAGGTTCTCCCCTCACAGAGCCTGAGACCGGGACTTGGGTAGGAGTGGTTTATTTGGAAGGAATCCCAGGAAGCAGGAGTGAGGGAGCAGGGAGAGTGAGACTGGGGGAGAAAAGGTCACTGTAAGGTGTGTTATCAAGGTTGCAGATACTGGCAATGGGGGCCCATTTTGCCAGGGTCTCTGATAGTGTAGAGTGTACCCCCCCCAGAACCAGTCCTTGAAAGGCAGAGCTAAGCATTTATCCACCAACTCCCACTCCCCATTGGCTGGGATTTGCCCCCAAAGGCATAAACTGGTCGCCCACCCACCCTTCCATGCTTCCAGAATGTACTGGTGTAAGGGGAATGGGAACTCCCATAGGCTTGGAGAAGGTTCTGGGGGAGAAAGCAGCAGAATGCATGGAACACTTGAGGTGGAGTGAGGCAGGGAGAGGTGAGTTGGAATGGCCCAACACAGCTGCCGCTGAAATCAGAGGTGGGCCAAGGGAGGCAGCTGTGAGAGCAAGTGTGGGCCTCAGTCACCTCCATCCCACAGAGGGACCATCTCATGAACATCTAAGTGACACCCCAGGTACTATAATGGAATCAAGCAAACATCTAAGAACAAGCTGTCCCCACTCCTGTGACCTGAGCAAGTGCCATCTCTGCTCTGGGCCTCAGTTTCTCCATCCCCTAAAGGGGGATCAGAATGCCTACCCGGCACGGTGGCAGAAAAATGGCTGTAAGGGCGTTGTAGGACTCTCCAACGCTTTGCACTTGCATCATTGCCAGGGGAGGCTAGGCCTTCACCCAGAGAGATGCAGTGGAATAGTGGAATCGCAGGCACCTTGTGGGCAGGGGAGAGCTTTGGAGACAAGGCAGCCCTTGTCACCTGGACACCTGGAAGCTCCCGCCCAAGCGTCAGGTGGTGCTGGGGGGGGCGGGGAGCAGTATACTGCCTGTGGCAGCACATGGGCCTGGGAGCCAAGGAGATGTGAGCTCACAGCCCAGCTCTGCCCAGATGCTGGGTGACTTCAGAAAGGTCATTTACTCTCTCTGCCAATGGGGAGTGTGCTGCACAGTGGGCTTGATTGAGAATTCAAAGAGACGGTGTCTGTGAAGCACCACCACACAAGGCCTGGCACATAGGAGGCCTGCAGCAAACACCCTCTGCGGGCTGCCCCACCGTGGAATGTCTGAATCTGAGGTCCCACAAAGCCAGGCTATTGTCTTTCCTGCAAAGCCTCCCACCCTCCTCCGGGGTGGGGAGCAGCGCAGCCCCAGCCCAGGTGTTGGGGTGGAGGGGGGGGGGCAGCAGCCCTGGAAATGCTCAAGCTTTACAGTCCCCCAGCAGGGCCTGTGTTCTCCTCCACTAGCTCAGGCCCTCAGCCCTCTGAGAAGCCCTGAGCTTAAGGGAACCAGGTGCCTTCATTAAAAGAAAGTCTACAAATAAAGGGCGACTTTGTGAGGGGAGTGTGGTGCATTCTTGGGGGCTCCAAGCAGTTTTATAGACCCAGACATGGAGCAAAGGCATTCAGGGACTAAGGAGCAGCTCCCAGACCCCAGCAGGCTGGCCGGGGCCCAGGGCCATGGGCAGGGGTGGGATGGGAAAGAACCTCCCCTCCCACCCCGCTCCTCACCCCTCTCCAATGGCAGACCGCCTGCTGGCCCTGGCTGCCTGTGGATGAGGAGGAAGGAGGGTGAGAGGTCCAGCACAGTGAGAGTCAGGTTCATGGAGCTCCTCCGAGTTAGAGGCCTTATATCCCGAGGACAGCCTTTCCCCTAAAAGCGTTTATCTTGCCGTGGATGTGGGATAGGTACATGCGAGCCCTGGGTGAGAACACCCCAAATCTCTACCCTCCAGGCCCTCCTAGAAACGCAGTCCCTTTCTCTGCCTCTCACAAAGAAAATCTGGGAATTTATAGAGTCAGAACGGCCAACAGACTGGACTGAAAATCCACCTATAAAATCTCCCTTTTTGTAACACACAAGACATCCAAAATTCAAAATACATAAGAATGTGTCAACCACCAAATACACTGAGGACGGGCAGCCTCGGTAAGACCCAAATGCCCATAAATGTCACTAGCAGTGAATGGAAACCAGGTATTGATAAACTGATATTTCAGGGCCTTGGCCCTTCAGTGTATTGACTTTCGGAGAAGTAACCTGGGGCACCCATAGGACTGGGCCCAATGCCTGGTGTGTGGCAGGAGTCATCCCTGAGCCCCATTGTCAATCCCTGTCCTGCCACTCGGCCTTTGTCAGCCCAGCACCTGCGGGGACCTGGGCAGGCAGTGACACAAGCTCACTCCTGACATCAGCTCACTCCTGGCACTACGGGAACATGTAGTTGAATGAAATGGAGGAGTGAGGCCTCAAGGGCTCCCTAACCCACTGCAGATATGAACTAAGAAACTTTTTGAGAACCCTAAACTAAAACTACTAAGCTGGGAATTGTTCATATTTCAGAAAGACTGTATTTTTCCCCAGGGTCCTTTTAAGTCTCCCTAGTCCATTTACAGTGGAGATTAAATAGGGCGGGGGCGGGGGAGAGTGATGAAATAACGTGTACCACAGAAAGACGAGTGCACACGATTGTACAGCATGATTGCAATTATGGGAAAGACTCTGTGTGAGCACACCTGGACTGGCTGTTGGTAGGGTGGAAGGTTCCATGGTACCTTTCTTCTCTTCAGTGCTGCTGTACTGTCTTCAGGATAGTATAGCTGTTTCATTTAGGGGTTTTGCTTATGTTTCTTCTTTTTGTCTTTTTTTTTTTAAGACATAGGAGTTGAAATGGCCTCCAACAGACCTAAGCACCAAATTCAATTTTCCAAATTAATTACAAGTCCCTGACACTAGCATTCAAGGCTCTCCCCAAAGCCCCCTGTTGCCTACAACCCCATGCTCCATCATTGGATGGAACCAGCTACTCCCTGACTCAGGCCTCCAGGCCTTCACATCTGCTGTTCCGTGCCTGTGGCTCACCCTTCCCTCACCCCTTCTCTACCTGGGTAAATCTCTCTCACTCTTCAAGGTCCATTTCAAGCCTACCTGCTCCATGAAAGCTCCCTGACCCCTACCTGACTGGGATTGCCCCACGCCACCCTTTGAAATCCCAGAACTCGTGTCCAACCCATTTAAAGGATTCTTCCCAGCCGGCCACCTTTGGTCCCCTCCATCGCATACATCCTGGGGAGCTGCCGGCATCCTTGCAGCCCCTGCAGCCCCAGCTCAGAGCAGGTGCTCAGCAAGTGTTTACCTTGATGTTTTCAAAGGACTCTGCACATCAGAATAAAATACATCCCCCACCTCAGCCCAAGGAGGGCCACTTGGGCAAACATACTTTTTACCCCAATCCAAAGGGATTTCCATATGTGCTAGTTACTCTTCTCCTCTATGGGATAAACAAAGTTAGTCTTTTTGTGATATTTCAAATACATTGTTAAAGAACTGCTCCAAATGTTGTGTCTTCAAAGACACAAATTCAGGACAAGCTTGTAAAATCCTTGTGTTGGTCCAGCTGAAGCAGCAACAACAAGCACTGTAAGCCTCAGCCACTGCCTTTTCCCTTTGATGCTGGACCTCCCAGCCACTGCACACAGGGGCAAACCTGCCCTCTTTCCTGGCCAGAGCCTTGACTGGGTCTCTGCCAGCTCACAGTGGGAGGCATCTCCCTGTGCAGAGGGCCCTTTCCTCCGCATCTCCGGCCCCAAGAGCCCCGAGAGAGCCCCATCGCTGCCTCTCTCCCCCGGCCCCCTCTCCCTCCGCATCCACATCTGGTTTCCCTTCAGCACAAGTTTCACAATAGACAGATTTTGCACTTCGAGGATTTATGGTTCCTGCTGCCCCTCCTTGCTTTTGATATGATTCCATTATGTGCTTAAAATCTGGGCCGTGCTCTTGGCTCCGGGGAGCTGTTTATGACAATTCTTTTACTGCCTTAAATCGCTCACCATTAAGAACCTGGTCATGTTCAGAAGCAATGACTAGTTGCTAAGACGGAAAGTTGCAACATATCTCAGACAGTTCCTTGAAAAGTATTCTTCATACAAGATTAATTAAGGCTAATGTTCACCTGGCAGGTAAACCCTCTGAGCAACACCTTTGACCCTGTTCTCTTACATCTGCCTGGGACATTGATTTAGAAGCAAATTAGGAACAACCCGCCCAACCTACCCCAACCCCAATCACTTCCTTCTTTCTACTGTGCTCCTTCCTCCAGGGGCTAGAGACCCCACTGACAGAAGGGTTGGTAGAAATAAAAACACCAACATCACAAACACCTCCCTCTCGGTAACAAACAGGACTGAGAACCATCATTTGTTTTCCATCTCTGCATTATGTTTTTTAGGAGAAGACAAAGAATTCCAGGAATAAGGAGATTGAGTGTTTATCCCCTTCCATTGGGTTGAGGACTTCCCTGACCAAGTTTTCCTTTGCCCCCCAACTCCCTCTCTGTCATCCCTCCTTCACCTGACAGCCAAAGAGATCTTCCTGAGAGGCACAACCTATCCACCTAACCCTCGCGCTTGAGGTTCTTGGGTGGGTCCTTACCATCCGGGTAATGAAGCCTAAGGTCCTGCACAATTTGGCCCTCATCTACATACTCAGCCTTCTGCCCCTCCCCCACCACATGCCTGCCCTGCACTCACTGTGCTCTTGGTCAGCGCGCCCTTGACGGTTCCCTTCCCTGAGCAGTTGCTTAAGCTGTTGTCTCCGCCTGGAATGTGACGCCTGTCGGTTCAGGTCTCCCTCCTCTTCTCTGAGAGAGCCTGAATGCCCACTCTGCCCTCCAAGAGAGTTCCCAAGTGTGCATATCCTTCCCCTCCCCACCCCTGCCCAGGGCAGACTGCCCGGGGGCTGCACAGCACGTGTCTGAGACCACCACTTGAAGGAGGGTGGCCCAAAACCACGTTGCCGCCGCCCTCTGGTGCTGGATGGAGGGTGGCCAGTTAAAATACAGGAACCTCAGTTAAATTTGAATTTCAAGTAAACAATGAAAGGCATTTTGGTATAAGTGTGCCCCCAAATAGTGCGTGTGCATCCCGTATTTGTATTTGCTAAATCTGATGACCCTAGCTGGATGGGATCTCTGGGACACCCTCCAAGGAGCGGAGCTGAGCACTAGACACCAGCAGCACAGACAGAGGAAAGCAGGGGTGAGGCCTGGACAAGAGCTGGGGGCACGTCCCCGTTCCCTCCCAGGAAGCAGCATATGGCTATTCTCAGCAGGACTCTAGAGCCAGGCTGCCTGGAGCTGAAGATCAGCTCTGCCATCAGTTATCTTAGGCAAGTTACTCACCTTCTCTGTGCCTTGGTTTCCCC